ATAGTTGTTATATATTTCCTATATAAGTGGGAGACTGTTCTCTAGCGTAAGACTCAAATTCATGATTCTTCGAAATAAAATATTTCCTCTAAACACCCGAAAACCCTTAACTCCTGAAGTGCCCGGGCTCCGCTGCTGTGCCTGTTCACCCTCTCCGTAATGCGTTTCCTCAGTAATTGGATTTTCTTTTTCCTAATCTGACTGCTTCAGATCTCTCTCCTCAGAACTCCAACAGCCCTGCTTTTCTCCGTTTACCTGATAATCTCAACTTTTAATTCACTGAGAAAATAGAAATAGTAAGGTGAAAATCCCTCCATTAAAAAGGAAATTTCTGCATCCTCCCAGCAGTGGCTTCTCTCTTGCCGCCACACCTCCTGCTTGATTGCCTCCTATCTCCTTCCAGCCTGGGTCAGGACCTTGAGCCCAAAGGCTGCACCCCCACTTGTCCTAGGCATCCTGCTTCCCCACTTGTCTGTGTTTTCCTGAGCTTGTAGCAGCTTACTTCCTACCTCCCCGCTCCTGGACTCATTTCTTATGAGACTAACATTCCTAATCCCAGCAACAATCTCCACTTTACAGGATTTGCTGAGAAGCTTTTGTATCCTCGTATTTCTCAAATGATTAGCTCCTTGCTACATCACAGTTGTCCGTTTGCTTAAACTTCTTTCTTTTGGCTTCTGAGAAATGTGCTATCCTGTTTTGTTTTGCTTTTCTATCATATTAGCTGTTCTTTCTCAGCTTGTATGTTGGCCCTTTTCCCTCAACCTATATATAGGTTGGCCAAGAGCTTGGTAATATATTTCTCTTATCCATTTACAAATACTCCTAGATAGAGGCCTTTCTCTTCTCTGTAGATATATAATTCACCCACTATCAGCTTTAAATAAAATATACGGGACTGGTAAGATTACATCGTAGGTCTCTATATTAAGGCCCAAACTTATATATCTGGTACTTAGTGACTTTTGAAATATTAATAAAAATATTAATATTAATAAAAATATTATATATTATATATTTTTATTAATATATCTGGTACTTAGTGACTTTTGAAATATTAATAAAAATATTAATATTAATAAAAATATTAAGCAAAGTTAACACAGCAGAAACAAAGCTGTTTTTCTTCCAGATTCCTAAGGCATTTTTCCTTCCCTGGTCGCTCTCAAGCACCCCTGCTCTGCAGGAGCACAGCTGAAATCCCACACTTGATCTGTGACTCTCCTTCCCTCACAGCTCACAGCTGGCTCACAGGCAGTCAGCTCTCGCACTGAGGGTAACCG